TTCACATGTGGATGGGCATATAGGCCACTTCCAAGGTCTAGCTATCGTCAATTGTGCTGCAGTAAGCACGGGTATGAATGTGTCACTGTACTACAATGCCTTTAACTCTTTGGGGAAGATATCTAGAAAGGGAATTTCTATTTTTAGTTTGTTGAGGAATCGCCATACCAATTTCTGTAGCAACTGTACCAGTTTATAGTCCTACCAACAATGCAGAAGTGTTCCTCCCCCCACCCCACCCCCAAGCCGCCCCATCATTTGTTATTTTTTTCCTGATGATGGCTATTCTTCTGGGACAAGATGGAATCTCACTGTTTTGGTCTGAATGACTGGGATGGGGGGGGTTCTTTTTGAGACAAGGTCTCACTATGTAGTTCAGGTTGGCATTGAGTTCACTTTGTAGCCCAGGATGGTCTCGAGCTCGCAGCAATCTTCCAGCCTCAGCCTTCTGAGTGCTGGGATTACAGGTGTGTGCCACCATGCCTGGCTAGAATATTTTAAAATAAATCACTTTAAAAGATTCTTCTTCAATCCCTGGTTCCGGAAAAACAACAACAACAAAAAAGATTCTTCAAACCACATTTTCAATTTGTATTAATTCAGAGGAAAACTTTTAAAAAGTCACCTTGGGCTGAAGATCAGCATCAGTTTATATAGTGCTATTTCTTTTCATTTGCCCTAGATTATATCTAACAGAGGAAAGTGGAGAGTTAGGCAATTAGAGTCTTTCTAATAAAACCTTTATTAATAATTATTTGGTGTAGACAGTCCCAGCCATGACCTTTCGACAGGAGATAATTGGATATGGTTAGACTCTTCAGGGTGACTTATTTTGAGACCAAAGAATAGTCAGGGCTGTTTTTTGTCAAATACAAAATCAAGCCCATGGGCTGGGGAGATAGCTCAGTGGCTTAAGCACCTGCCTGGCAACCACAAGGTCCTGAGTTCAATCTCCAGTATTTAAAAAAAAATCAATTCCACAATGCACTCATCCACCTCAGAAGTCCTTTCTTATTAACTGCGACTCTGATTAGTTAGATTTCCTGTTAAAGATTTTACAGAAGGTTAATGTGTCATAAGTGTTTAATATATATTCATGCATTTTACCACTCCTAACCAAACACCTACTGCATTAGCTGCTATACTCTCAAATACACCAGGAACCAAGACACGTAAAGTCCAAGTTTTAGGGACCTCATGGAAGGCAGTAACCATAGCAACATCTGATGTCTATCATTGAGAGTGTGAAAGAAACTCGAGACCCTCAAGCTAGTATTTATAGTCTTCTCACTCATCACTATGGAAAATCTACTAGCAGTTCTTTCATTTATTTATTTACTTGAGACAGGGTCTCACTGTGCAGTTCAGACTGGCCTTGATTTTTTTTTTTTTTTTTTTTTTTTTTGGTGGAACCGGAGTTTGAAATCAGGCCCTTGCGCTTACCAGGGAAGTGCTTCTTCCACTGAGCCATTCCCCGGCCCACCCGCTGGCCTCAAACTCGCAATGATCCTCCTGCCTCAGCCATCTGAGTGCTAGAATTACAGGCATGCACCACCATGCCTGGCTATTAGCAATTCTTAAATCCCTAAATTTGACTCTTTTTAAATAACAAATACAATTTAGTTTCTAAAACTACTCTGCTAGCAGTAAATCTTTTTTCAAAGCCTTCTGCTTTTCTCTTTAGATTTCTTTTAAAAAATCTTTTCTGTATTCATTTGGTACAGGGTATCCTTCCACAGCTCAGACTCGTAGTCTCCGCCTGGTTCAGCTTCCCCAGCACTGGGACTACAGGCGTGCACCACCACACCATTTCGGCTGTGTGCTTGGGGCGGGGCTGGCTAGGTATTTGATACCAGGGATGGAACTCGGGGTTTTGTGCCTGCCAGGCAGGTGCTCAGACCCTCAAACCATTTCCCCAGCCCTCCTGTTTCTCTTTTCTTTTTTAAATTTTTTTTAATGTATTTGGTACAGGGTCTCACTTCCTTCTGTTTTTCTTTCGCCCTTTTCCCAAATCCAGGAAGAGTTAGAGCAGAGGCTACTTCGTGGTTGAGCCACCCTTTGCTGCATTATATAATAAATTTATAAATACTAACGTGGAATAAATTGTGTGTGTGGGGGAGAATCTGCTATTTATCTTCTAGTCCCACAGTGTTTCCCTAGAGATGTCAATAGGGAAATGGCAGACCCAGGAAGACCAGGAGAGAGAGCTGACCAGCATCTGACCCAGCATTTCAGAATGCTCTCTCGCTCGCTGTCACTCTCGCTCTCTCTCTCTGTCTCTCTGATCTTTTTGTTCTGTGTGAGACACTTGAAATTCTATACAGACATTTCATTATTTTACTTTGGTGCAAAAGGTGTTTGCAGTCAGCAATGTTTGTTACACCAGAGACTTAACATCTGCTAACAATGGGATTGTTGTGCCATCTGATCTCCTGTGAGTAATTCTCCCGTGCTGGGCTCCTTCTCTCCTTTGGGGAAACACACTGGCTCCATATGCTATTTTCTAATAGAGGCATTGTTTTGTCATTCTTATGAGCCGAGGAGAGGAAGGCTGGCAGCTTATTCTTGAATAGAAGGAAGCTTGGACAGTTTATCTCTTTAAAAATGTCCTTAAGGAAGCACTTTACCCCTGTTTGCATTAGTATAACTGGACCCAAATCTAAAAGCTATTAAAAAATACACAGTTCTAGTGGCATTAATAACAAAACATAAATTTGATAAGATAAATTTTGGACATATTTAAAGAAAGTTGAAGACATAATCAACATTATAAATGTTAGTTATTCCCAAATACATGTGAAAGCTTAACACATTTGAGATTTGATAAAATGATTCTAAATCTCACTAGTAAGAAATTTAGAACATACCAAAGCAGTGGTTGGGAACAGCTCACGAAAGAAATATGTGAGGAGAGTTTGATTGGTCACAGATTTAGCTACAGTCATTACAACCACAGGCCCTGGAGCAAGGATGAACAAGTCACAGAAATAACATACGGGCAGACCAGTACATACATGAAATTAGCCTGTGCTATGGCTTACTGAAAATGATGGTATGAAAAGGTAGGGAGTGCTTACAACATGATTAGGCGCTGAGCGCTCCTTTTCCATGAACGGGATTGGGTGCCATTATGAATGGATTTGACAGAATTAGTCACCTTTATCCCTGTCCACCTTCTGTCACGTGAGATCACCACACTGCTCCTGTCTGAAGGACAGCATATTCTAGGTACCATCTTGGAAGCTGAGAGCAGCCCTCACCAGACACGAAACCTGCTGGCACCCTAACCTTGAGCTTCTCATCCCTCGTGTTTGTGAGAAAATAACACGACTGTCAGTCTATCCTTCTTCCTTTCTCTTCCTCCCCTCCCTCCTTCCTTCCTTCCTTTCTTCATTGCTTTGTTCTTTGTCCTTTTTCTTTTTTGGTGCTGGGGATTGAACCCAGAACTTTAAACATGCTCAGCATCTGCTGTCATACTAATCCACATCCCTGGTCTAAATTATCCAGTCTCAGGTATTTTGTTATAGCAGCAAGAAAGGACTAAGACAGTATGGGGTGGGGGAGTGGAAGAGAATGGCAGGGAAAAACCCACAAATCAAAATTGCAAAAAGCCAAGGATGCCAGGGAGATGGCTCAGCAGAATAAGTGCTAAGTGCTTCCCTGGCAAGTGCAAGGACCTGAATTCAATCCCCGGTTCCAAAAAAAAAAAAAAAAAAAGGCAAAAACCAACCTGGAAATATATATATAATTTATTTAAAATAACCAAATCACTAAAACCACAAAAAACAAGCTCCAACTTGACCCGCCATTTGGTACCAATTATTAACCTTATCTATGATGTATATATCACAGATAAGGTTAATGCTTTACATAAAAGCAGTTATATAACAAACATATGATGATTCCTAGAAAAATAAACTACATGACTAGGATAATTCACAACATAAAAATAGAGAACAAGTGTGGAAAACATATTTCATCTCACTTTAATAAAAAACACTGATTAAAATAATGAAATAGTCTTGCATGATGGTGCACACCTGTAATCCCAGCGCTTGGCAGGCTGAGGCAGGAGGATCGCCACAAGTTTGAGGCTAGCCTTGGCTACATAGGTCAGTCCGGTCTACATAGTGAGACCTAGTCTCAAAAAAAAAAAAAAAAAAGAGGAAGAAATCATGTGTCTGTATGTCTAGATATGGATCTGTATTTGTATCTATACACAAACACAGAATTTGTGAACAAAACGTGGGTCATACTATTAGTAACTTGCTTTTTCATACTATAATAAAGAATATGATATACTAAGTTCTTTGAAAGGTTGTATAACATGCATACAGTGACCCTCTTGTAAAGTGTATATAAGCAAAGAAAAAAGATTGGGCTCCTCAGTGGAGAAGAGGTGTGCGGATGATTTTTCTTTTCTGTGTTCATCTTCCTGTTCTTAAAGGAAGTAAACTCTCTGTAAGTCTAACTATGCGCTATATAAGCCATATACATTTAAGGTGATTTGTGAGTACATTTGGGACTACAGATCAACTTGGAGCTTGTTTTTGTGGTTTTAGTGATTGGGTTATTTTAAGAAATCCAGCAATAGGACAAAGTAAAACTGCCACAAGGGGAAGAAATGAGCCACAGTCTTTTTGTGTGTGTCATTGTTTTTATTATTAGTATCGGCGGTGAGATTAATTTCCTTCTTGTGTGCAAAAAAGCGAGCAATGAAACAAGCTGCCGGAGACAGCGCCAGGGAGCCCAACTCCGCCCCGGCTCACCGCACCGCCGCCGGCCCGCGGCTGGATCTCCTCTCTTACTCCGGCTCCAGGAGCCGCGGGGGGG